TTTTTTTTTTTGTTCTTTATTTATTACATAACATTTTTTTTTCTGGAGCGAAATATTTATATAATTTTTTTTTCTTTTATTTACTGAATTTATTTAAATAATATAATAATTTAATAATAATGATAATAATATGCGGGTATAAATGCTCACGTATGAGAAATTTAAAAATGTGAGTAATTTATTACGTTTATATTTTTGTATATGCGAGAGGTTAAGGAAAGAAACGATAGAAATGTGACGTGAAATGAAAACGCGGTTTAAATTTTTTTTCGAAAATCTTCTAGAAATATATATTATCGATTTTTAAACGAATAGTTTTTAGAAAAAATAATAATAATAATAATAATAATAAAATACTGACAAGTTTTTCGTAACAGAAAATTTACAAAAAAAAAGAAAAAAAAATTTTGTATGTGTGATACTTCTTTTAGTTGTTGTTTGCCTTCGCGAGAAACATGTCACGACTTTATAAAATAAAAATATAAAAATATGTACGTATGTATATGTATGTAAAACAGGAGGAGAAGGAGTGCGCGTGTGTCCGCATGGGAAAAAAGAATTGGGGGAGCGGGAGCGGAAGGAGAGGGGGTAAAGAAAGAAAAAGCAAAAAAAAAAAAAATTCACCTCGTATAAATCTACATTTAATAAGTTTAACGGGGTGAATAACTATAAAGCGCGTTTAAAATAATAATAATAATAATGATAATGTTAATAAATTTTAATGTTGTTATACGTAAATAATAATAATAATAATAATAATAATAATAATAATGATAATGATAATAAAATATAAATAAATAATTAAATGTAATTTTTTTTTTAAATAAATTAATTCGTTTGATGTGTTTTTATTATGCCTTTTGCTTTGCTTAGGTATTAACATGTGAACCTGATTTTACGTGTGAAAATATTTTGTCGGCGGCTGGGTGGGGGCAGGCGGGAGGTAAGGAGTGAGTCCCAAAGAATTTTTCTTCTAATGCCACGGTTTACAAGTTTTTTCTCTTCCTCTTAAGACTTTAATAACAAACAGACGAGTAAAAAATGTTGAGAAAAAAAAAATTTGATTGCGTTGAATTTCCCTAAAGAAAAATTTAAACGAATGGAAAACTAAAATTAGTGTCACGTTAAAAATTTTCCAACGCTCGGAGTTGTTTTGTGTGCTCTGGCAATTTGGAAAAAAAAAGAAAAAAAATTGTATAGCAGAATTTAGTATGAGAAAAAAAAAAACAAAATCTACCTGAAATCTGACAGGTATATATATAAAGTTGTTTTACCATCATCGCACACACACACAGACGGGGGGCAGGTGCGCCCTGACACCGTTCGAGCGACATTCCCTAGTTGAATAGTTTTTACAAAAAAAAATTCGTGAGTTCGTGGTTTGATTGGTGGTCCGGACCGGAAATCATGAAAACAAAAAATTTAAAAAAAAACATGTTTCAAAACAATAATTCTTCATCTTCTTTTTTTAATATTAAAAAAAAAAAAAAATCAGGTTTTCATTGCGAGTAAAGAATTTTTTTTTTTTGATAAATTTGAGGAGGTATTCGAGTATGCCTGAAAAAAAAAAAATTAAAAGAAAAATTAATTTCAATAATAAAAATATTATTATTATTTGTCATAAAAGGTCTTTTATTTAAAAAAAAAAAACAGGTTTCCCCCGTTTCTTGCGATTCTCTGTAAAAAAATAGAAAAAACACGCACACGCACTTACGCACGCACACGCACTTACGCACGCACACATTGCATCAATAACTAACTAACTAACTACTTTGCAAAGGTTCATCAGGTATGCGTTGTTTTTATTTTTATTGGTAGTGAGTATTATTCCGTTTGTCGATATTTTTTAAAAACCTTTTAAATTTTTAAATGTCTCGTCTTTAATAATAATAATAATCATCATTTTTCTTCTTCTTCTTCTGACTTTTAATAACGTTGCGAGAGAAAAAGAGACAGTGAGAGTGAGAGAGATGGAAAGATTTGTTTTAGTTTTTTTTTCAAATTGCTCAAAATGTTTTCTCTCTCTTGTGTGCCTGCCTGCCTGCCTCCCGTTTTCAAAATAAATTTCAGATACTTCAAAAAGGTACCAGAGAGGGAGAGAGAGAGAAAGAAAATTAATTTTAATTTCGATTATACCTGTTTAAGGTCCGTGTAATATTTTTTTTTTTTTTTAAATAAAAATTATAGTTTTGCAGATTAAATCTTCTTTTTTTGGGTAGTTTAATAAAATGTTTAGGTTTTTTGTAACGTTATTATTATTATTATTACTTTAAACTTTTATTACTAATTTATTTATTAAAAAAATTTTTAAATTAAGAGAAAGAAAGAAGAGGAGGAGGGAGTGGGGAGGGAGGAAGGGAAAAAACTTGTTAACAATTTTTTTAATTCTTGTGGTAACAAATGCTAGGGATGGATTTCCATTTGTAAAACACGTTTAATAACTGTATGAAAATTATTGTGAAAAAGGAAAGGAAGAAGGGGAGAAGGGGGAGGGGAAAACGATGACGAAGGAAAATGAGAAAAAAAGTTGTAGTTGTAGAAGTAGGAAAAGGGAAGGGGAATAGGAAAAGATCGTGTGAGAAAATTAGTTAAAAATTAAGTCTTTTCGTCAGGTACAAAAAAAGGAAAAGGGGGAAAAAAGGAAAAAAAAAGGACGGATGGGGGACGAAGAGGGAGGATCGAACAACAGTAAGAAGGTGTGGGAAGGAACACGGGAAGGCACTTTGAACACGAGTAACGACCTCAATTATTAAAACTGTTTTCATGTCGCGTTTAAAATTCATCCGGTGTGTGTGCGAGTTAATTACTTTCATCTAAAACAGCTTTTAATCCTTTAATTGTGCACATCACTAATATTGACCACCACCACCGCTACCGCCACCGCTTGTGTTATCGCCGTTCCCCCCACCGCCACCTCAATTTATTTTGAGTTTTTCCAACCGACGAAAACATTTTCTTACACACTCTTGAATTCAAAGTGCCTTTATTATAGAAACGAGTTTTATTAACTTTTTCCTCCCGTTCGAAGAGATGGTAATTATTAATGTTTCGCATTGAGAAACGTTTAAAGAAAAAAAAAGTGGAAGGAGAAAATGAAGAAGAAGAAACCTTTTCTTTTCGTTTTTCATCACTTCCTTCCGTTTCCTCCTTCTCATTCTTCTTCTTCATTCTTTTTCCCCATTTTCCGAGTGTAAAAATAAAAATCTTTTTTACTTATTGTGAGCGCGTTAGGAGAGGAGAGGAAAGGAGAGAGAAAGAAGGGGTTTTATTGATTACCGTGTGAAAATCTTGGAGGAAAAAAGAAAAGAAAAGAAAAGGGGGGAGAGAGAGAGGGGGGAAAAGAAATTTTCTTTTTTTTGTGAAAAGAATCAAACAGGTAGTTGTTGTTGTTGTTGTTGATTAGTCAAGTTACTTGGTAAAAGGTTTGCCAATTGATTGTCTTCATCTGGTTGAGAATTTTCCCCCTCCTTCCTTCCTCTTCCCCCTTCTCACTTTTCCTCTCTCCCTCCCCCTCCACATTTTTTTACTTTTATTTTTTGCGGGAGGTAAATTAAAAAAAAAAAAAAAACTTATAACATTTATTATTAACACTTATCGTTCCCGGAATCGATTAATATTAATAATAATAATAATAATAATACGCCATTGAATTTTCATCCGGGTGGGGGGAGGGAGGGAAATTTAATTTATTTTAATAAAAAAAAGAAAAAAAAAAACGATCGTTGGAAAATGAAAAGAAAAATCAAAGGAAAAGAAGGTTTGAAGAATTGTTGGAAACCTTTTGTGTGTTTGAACCAACCATCTTTTCTTTTTACTTTTTGTCTTTTCCCCTCTCACTCTCTCCTCTCCCCACCTCCTCACTAATTAATTAACTTTTAAATGTACCTTTTTTTGGATTTTAAGGTCTAATAAAAAATTTAAAAAAAATGTACATGTTTTTTTTTTTTATGTCCTCAACCGTGGAACAAACAAAAATGACAACGTCACATTTAAAACATAATCATTTCCTTTTTCTCTGTCTCTCTCTCTCTCTCTCTCTCTCTCTCTCTCTCTCTTTTTAAACCATCTTTTTTCTTTCTTTCTTTCTTTCCTTCCTTTAGTTAATAGGTATATGTACATAAAAATTTAATTAGAAAATAATAGTAAAGTATTTGTTTACCTTTACAGATCATAAATTCGAGTTTAAAAAAAATTTTAATTTAAATTTTTTTGACTTTTGTCTTTGTTTTCCCATCGAATTTTCGAGAATAATTATTATGTAATATTTTAATTACTTGAATCAACAACAACAAAAAAATTGGAATTGTTGTCAAAGGTGGTGGTGGTAGTGGTAGTAGTGGTAATAGTGTCAATAGTGGCAGCCTTCAAATTTTACTCTTATTTCTAAAAGGAAATAACATAATTTGACTTTTCGAACCGTTGTTGTTTTTGCATCGATGAAATTATTATTATTATTATCATCAAAGACCACTCGTGTAAATTTTTGTTTGTTTGTTTGTTTGTTGGTAGACACGAGCGTAACGTAACGATTAATTCCAAAAGGAAAAAAATTTTTTTTTCTTGTAACTTCTTGCAACACTCTAAAAATTCATCACTTTTCTCTCTCTTTTTTTTTTTTTTTTTTTTTTTTTTTTTTTTTTTTTTTTGAAAAGAGGCTTTAACAAAAGCTTTTTTTCCTTTTTGAAAAATAAGAAAATTCCCAAGAGAAAATTTTGTGTTTTAATTTGTTTAACTTTCCTTTCCTTTTTTCCCCCTCCCCCCATTCGGACTTTAAATTTCTTTTGAAAAAAAAATAAAAGTAAAAAATGTGTCTTGCATTCGACTCATGTGGTATAAACGAAATTTTTTGTTTACGATTCGAATCGAAATCGAAAAAAGAATTTTCTAGAAATCGATCGAGAGACGTTTTAATAAAATTATTATTATTATTATTATTATTATTATTATTATTATTATTATTATTATTATTATTATTATGAAGAGATGTTAATGATATATTTATGATATTTTTCTTTTTTATAGGTTTTCATCTGAGCGGTGTTGTATCAACTCACAGATCAGGGAGTCCCGCCTCATCAGTGTACCTTCCAGAACCTGATAAAAAGTACAAAGTTTCTGTTAGTTTTGATAGGTGAGTAGTAATCATAATAATAATAATTTAACGATTTGTTTTTTACTGAAGAGCAGGAGGGAGAGGGCGAAGGAGGAGGAAGAGGAAAGAGGAGGGAAACGGGGAAGGGGGAAATGAAAGAAAACTTTGTGATTTCAAAGGTTCAAAAACGATGATGTTTATTTATTTATTTATTATTTATTTATTATTTATTTATTTACGATTTTTTTAAAAAAATGTTTTATGGAATTTGATCGAACGAAAACAATTTTTTTTGTTTTTGTTGGCACATTTAAAAAGAAAATGGCGACGAGAGTTTTCATTTTGTTTTGCCATTGCCATTACATTTAGTAGGTGTGCTGCGTTCGTTTTTAACTCGCGTCGGAGTTTTTAACTCTACGACCAAAAAGTAATAAAAAAATAATAATAATAATAATGATAAAGGAAAAGAATAAGAAGATTTCTATTTTTTTTTTTTTTTTTTTTTAAGACATAAAAATGATATACAAAAGATTTTTTGTTGTCGTTGTTGTTGATGACGTTCTCTCTCAACTTTTCTTTTTGTAATTTTAAATATCTATAAAAAAAATTTTCGTTGGTATTTTGCCGTTAAAAAAAAGAAAATCTTCTTCTATTTAACGACGATTACGTTGAAATATATATCAAATCTATTGTGATTATTTTTTTTTTTTATTTGACATATTATTACTCTTTATAAAAAAAAAAAAAAAAAAAGCTTTAAGGCGGTGTCGTTATTAATAACATAAAATTCGTGCGAGAAAACCGTTCGGTTCGTCTTTTTTCTTCGTACGCGTATATGACCGTTAAAAAAGTGAGGAAAAGAAAGGAAAATTTTAATTTAATTTTTTTTTTAAAAAAAACGTCGTGGTGGTAGTAGTTTAACAGGAGGGAGAGAGAGAGAGAGAGAAAGAGCAACAACAACAACAAACGATTTTTGTTTTGGACGAAAAAAAAACACACACAAAGAAATCCTTGTTTTCATCAAAACAATTTTATGTTGATAAATTCGACTTGTTGTATTATTCTTCCTTCGCCTTCTTTCATCCGGAAGAATTCATCAACGGTGGTCTCGTTTTCTCTTTACATTATCATCATCATCATTATTAGTATTAGTTTTTAATTCTTTTTCTTTTCTTTCTGTTTTGAAAGCTTTTCATTCACGAATTTTTATTTTCTTCTGTTCAGGAGAACTAAATAAAAAAAAAACATTTATTTATTTATTTTTATTATTTTCGAATGGAATAACGTCCGACGAGTTTGTTTAGTTATTATTATTATCATTGTTACTCATTGTGAAAGTTATTATTATTATCCGATTCGAAAAATCGTACACTAAACTCTTTATTGAAATTTTTAAATGGCGCACATAACCAAAAAAAAAAAATTATTATTATTACTCGTATATGTATGTGATGTATGAATTCCACTTCCGGTCGTTCTTTTTGCTTTGTTTAATTAAATTATTATTATTATTATTTTCATTCATAATCGCGACGATTCGTCGTTTGTTTCGGATTGTTTTTCCAAAGTTTATTCCAGGTTTTTTACCCCCTTCCGATCCCTAAGGAATATAAGTGATGATGCTGTATGCTTGATGAGTAGGTTTTTGCCTTGTTATAACTTATGACGTCACAACAATTCTTTTAAGTTCATCGTATTTGATAGGAACGAATTATTTCCGGTACTGGGCTCCGATTAACACACGTCTGTCGAGTTTGTTATTATTATTATTAATTGAAAGAAAAAAAAAAGAGGAAGGAATGAAAAGTAAAAGTGTTGTTGTTAATTTTCCTGATAGTTTCGTAAAGAATACAAAGATGACAAAAAATTATTAAAAAATTTTTTAAAAGCACGATGCAGTTTAGTCGTGAAGAAAAAAAAGAGAGAGAGAGAGTGAGTGAGTGAGTGAGTGAGATAGAAATTGTTTCGCCCCTCATAGTTTTTCCTTTTGCTTTCGAGTTAATTCTTTGAAAAAGAAAAAAAAAAGAATCTTTGCATTGTTTAAGGGTGATTTGGATGATCTTAGCAACAGAGGGTGACTCTTCCTGCTGCTGCTGTTGCTGCTGCTTTAGGCCAATTTAAATTTTTTTTTAATCATTGTTGCTGCTGTTGTTGCTGTTGTTGTTGCGTGTGTGCGTGTGTTCGTGTCTTTCTTTTGTGAGTCATATTTTTAATTAATAAAAACTAAAGAACAAAATTTTTTTTTTTGCACTCTTCCTCCTTTTTTTTTTTTTTTTTGTTGGGCCCTGTAGTTTTAAACGTGTCATAAGAATAAAGTTTATAACCGTTAAAAAATAATATTAATAATAATAATAAATTGTACTAAATGATTTTTTTTTGTTTTTTTTTTTTTTTCAGGTGTAAAATAACTTCAGTGACTTGCAGTTGTGATACTAAAGACATATTTTGGTGTCAACATGTCGTCGCGCTTTCCTTGTACAGAATACGAAACGCTGAAAGTGTTCGGTTACGTGTGCCTATATCGGAAACTCTTTTACAAATGGACAGACAACAACTTCAGAAATTTGTACAGTACCTCATATCGGAACATCACACGGAAGTTTTACCCACTGCCCAAAAATTAGCAGATGAAATTTTACTACAAAGGTAAGTCGAAAGAATTTACTTGAGGTTTCACCCCCCTCGCCCTTTCGCCCCCACCCCCGTCGGTACTTTTAACAATATCGATACGTTTCGATTGCTGGAAATCGAATTGGAGGAAACCGGAAACGTTAATAGTTAAACATTATGATTTTCTTTTTTTGTCTTCTGCTTCTTTTCTGTGAAATGATTTCGCCATTTTGTAATTATAACTTTTTTTTTTTTTTTTTTTGGTTTTATTGTTTAACGGTCAAATATTATTTGGCTCATCATCAACGGAGCCATTTAGAATACGAGAAAGAGAAAGGGGGGAAAGGGAGGGGGAAAGAGAGAGAGAGAGAGAGAATCACGGAACAATTTCCAAGTTTTAATTTGTAAATTTTCCAAATAATCTTTTTGGCTGAGTTTCTAGTCGTCGTGGATTATAGAAAAATATTTTCATTAAAATTTTTCACGGTTTAAGTGAAATTCAGCGAATTTTTTAAAAAAAAAAAAAAAGGAAAAAAAAGGTAGAAGAAGAAGAAAAAAGTTAAATTTATTCGACTTAAAAAAAAAATTTTTAAATAATTCCAGTTTTTTTCTCTCTCTTCTCCCCTTTTTTTTTCCCCATTTCTCTCTCTCTCTTTCTGCTTCTTTTTTTTTTTTCTAACTCCTGCCATTTTTTTTTCTTTCTTTTTTTTTTTTGGGTTTGATTCCGCATCGCTAATGGAGAAATGAAAATTTTGTGTATATATATACGTACGTTCGAGCCAAAAATTTACATCTCACGCACACACGCACACGCATACACACACACACAAAACGTTTCATTTTATTTCTGCCAAAATAATTTATTTTTAAAGTTTCGGAATCGATATTAAAAAAAAATGAGAAAAAAGATTTTTTTTCTTTCACTTTATGGTTTGATTTAATGTGGCACCAAAAACAACAAACCATTCGAGGAATTTTTTTTTTTTTTTTTTTTTTTTTTTTTTTTTGGAAACGAATTCAAACGTTCGACGGTTTAATAAATTAAAAAAAAATGGAAAAATGGTAACAGAAATCGATTTACAAAAAAAGTCAGTCCAGTCACTCACTCATTGCGTGACTGGAGAAAAATCATAATAATAATAATAATTTTTACATTTTATTGAAAGAAAAAAAAAAAAAGATGGAAAAAAAATTCAATTTTTTTTTTTTTTTTGATCATAAAATAATTTTTTTAATTTTATTAATTAATTATTATCATTATGATTTTAATAATTACGAGGGGAAGGGGGTTTTTATACAAAAAAATTTAAATTGATTATTGAAGGAGGGGAGGGGAAAAAAAAGAGGGAATTTTTGTTACTCGAAAATTCGTCGACTCGATTTGGATTTTTTTTTTTTTATAACGATTTTTCGTATCGGTTTCGTTCAAACCTTTTATTATTATTATTATTATTATTATTATTATTATTATTATTATCATTATCATTTTCACAACGCAAAAATCTTCCGGGAAAAAAGGTTAAATAAAAGAAAAAAAAGAGAGGAAAATTATACGTTGTTATCGATTATTACAAATGATGGTGGACAAAGGGGAAAAAAAATGGACGTACGTGAAATAATCTCATAAAATTTTTTTTTTTGCTTATGAAAATGGCAAGTGATCGATACTATTATTATTATTATCGTCGTCGTCGTCGTCGTCATCAAATCTTCAAAAAATTTTGAAGAAAAAAAAAAAAAAGAATGGATTATTATTTTGGGATTTCCACTGACAACTATAAGGAAAAAAAAAATTATTAATTATTTAATAAATAAATTTTATTTTATTTATGTAGTTCCACTCTCCCTCTCTCTCTCTCTCGCACGTTTTTTCCAGAATCAATTTTTCTTTTTTTTTTTTTTTATTAAAATTCGTTATTCGTTGACGATGGAAATTAAAACTGGAAATCGGGGGTAAAAACAAAAAAAAAATTGAAACTCGTTTTTATAAGAATTTATTTATTTCATACAAAAAAAAAAAAAAAAAATTTTCAGTCGGGATTAGTCAGTGAATTGTTGACTAATTTTTTCTTTTTTTTTTTATTATTTTCGTGGAAAATTCTATAAAAAAAGGAAAATGTTTTATTATTATTATTATCATTATTAGTTTTTTTTAATGAATTAATTAATTTTAATAAATAATTAAATATATTAAACTTTTTATTTTATTTGTTTAAATAATATTTTATATAAAACTTTAAAAAAAAGAAAAGTTTTTTATTTTTTCCTTTTGTTTATTTGTTTGTTTGTTTGTTTGTTTAGGATGCAAAAAAAATTATTATTAAAACAATAATAATAATAATAATTATAGAAGAAAAATAAAAAAGTTTATTATTATTTTTTTTATTATTTTTCTACCAAAAAGGTTTTATTAATAAATTAAACCGGGTTTCAGGTGTTTTTATTATTATTATTATTATTAAATAAATAATTTATTTACCTATTTTTATTATTATTATTAATATTTATTTATTTTTATTTTTTGTTTGTTTGTTTGTTTATCTTGTTGTCCGGAATGATGACATTCAAATGAAATCCAAAGCGGAAATTTCGTTTTTTTTTTCCTCCTCCTCTCTCCCCTTTTTCACCGTCTCCCCACTTAAAATTTTTCATTCTTTTTCTCTCTTTTATATATATACATACTAACCTTTCATTTTTTCAATTGGTTTGTCTTTTTTTTTTTTAAAGAGAGAGAGAGAGAGAGAAAGAAATAAACCACATTGGAAATTTTTTCATTTAGTGTATAATAATTACACGTTAGATTATCTCTCAGCGGTGAACTCGAATTTTTGCAATCGAAATAAATTTAAAAAAAAAATAGAAAAAAAAATTATTTTACGTTATCCATGTCCCGAATTACATTTATGTATCAAAAAGAGAGAGAAAGAGAGAGAGAGAGAGAGAGAGAAAGAGAGAGAAACACGATTCGGCGACACAATAAATCATAACACAGAAAAAATTTTTCCATTTAATTTTCCATTTTAATTTCGGCGATTCCGTTGTTTCATCGTGCTCGCGAATGATAGAAAATGATTATTATTATTATTATTATAGAAATTAAAATTATCGAAATGACAAAAAAAAATGGAAGGAAGGATAAAAAGGCAAACATCATTCATCGTTTGTTATTTTAAAATATTTAACGATGGATAACATTAAAAAGGTTGTTTAAAATTGGGAATGAAAATGTCAGGAATTGATAACGGGGGCGTGACATGATAGTGGGGGTCTGCTCTCATTTCCTAAAGGGGTGTGCGTGTGTGCGTGTGCTTATCCCTAAAAATGCGAAGTGAAAAGTGACAGAGTGATCCGTGGAAAAAAAAAAAAAAATTTTTTTTCGCACTCCAAAATGCAATATAAAAAAAAAACTCACGGATGTTGTTGTTGTTGTTGTTGTTGTCGTTGTTGTTATTCGAGCTCGACAATATTAAATTGTTTTTAGAAAATTAGATTTCAATTGCTCTGCTTTTAAAATGGAGAAGAAAAAGAAGAAGAAGAAGAAACAAAAAACATAAAATATAAAACTGCTATGAGAAATGGCGACGATGATACAAAAGCTTTTAACATATTACCATCGTCAAATTTGGTTCACATTTCAGTATTCATTTTTATTATTATTATTCTTCTTTTTCTTCTTTTCCCATTGAGAGAAACTCTCATAGTAATAATAATACTAGCAAAGGTTTTTATTACTGTTAAAATTATATTTTAGAATGATATGAGTTTGGTGTAAAAAAAAAAAAAAAATGGCATTTTTATTAATTTAAAAAAGAATTAAATTAATTTAAAAATTTTTTTTTTTTTTTTTTTTTTTTTTTTTTTTTTTAGATCGGAAATCAATCAAATTGCCGGCGCTCCCGATCCAACCGCCGGTGCCAGCGCCGACGATGACCACACTTGGCACCTCGACGAAGAACAAGTTTGCGAACAAGTGAGGTCTTATCTATCCCAAGGCAGTTATTACAATGCAAATAAGCAACTCAATTCCCTCTTCGCAAAGGTTCTATTATCATTATTATTATTATTATTACTACTTTTATTCCAGTTTGTGGAAAATGAATGGATTTTAATTTTCATTCTCTTTCTATTTCTTTCCTAAATGATTGATAGGTTAGAGAAATGCTCAGAGCTAGAGATTCTAACGGTGCGAGAATGTTAACATTAATAACGGAAGAATTTCTATCGGATCCGAGATTAATTTTATGGAAAGCTCAAAGTACGCCTATGAATGATAAATGTCGACAACTTTGGGATCAACTTGGTAAGACGACAAAGAAATAGAAAATTTTTTACAAAAAAAAGAAGGCATGGAAAAACATTTTGTTTATAATTGACAGGTGCTTTATGGGTGTGCATTGTATTGAATCCGCATTGTAGCAATCAGGAAAAACAACATTGGAAATGGTTGTTGGAAAAATGGTCTTCTATAAGTGTTTGCCCACAGGAAGATCCTGATTTTAGACCTCAACCACCACCTAGACAGGATTTGGTATGTTTAAAAAAATTATTATTATTTCATTAGATTTCTAGTTTTTTTTTTTTTTTTTTAAAAATTTTATTTGTTTATCATCATTTTTATAATTAAAAAAAAAAAAAAAAAAATTTAATTAATCCCCTTGAGCTCTCATTAAGTTTTTTTTTTACATTGGGATTTGGCTTTGTTTGATTCAATTTTTTTTTGTAATATTTGTTTGTTTGTTTTTTTTTCTTGTGGTTGTTGTTGTTGTTGGTACTACTTATTGTCGGTTGTTAATCGACAAATTTTATATAAAAACGTTTAAAAAATTTTTGTTGTTTGTTACGAGGATAAAAACTCATTTTTTAAAATTTTTTTTCCAGTTTCACAGACACACTGGGCTATTCGATTCTTCGGATAGTAGTTCTGAAGAAGATATATCGCCTCCGTTTAGAGATTACCGTAATAGAGAAGGTGATAGAGATAGGGACAGAGACAGAGATAGAGAAAGAGACAGGGATAGGGACAGGGACAGGGATAGAGATCGAGACAGGGATAGGGATAGAGATAGGGATAGGGATCGAGATAGAGACAGAGACCGAGACAGAGATCGGGACAGAGACAGAGATAGAGATAGGGATAGGGATAGGGACAGAGATAGAGACAGGGATAGGGATAGAGATAGGGACAGGGATAGAGAGCGAGATAGGGAAAGAGACCGTGATAGGGATCGTGACAGAGACAGAGACAGAGACAGGGATAGGGATCGAGATAGAGATAGAGACAGGGAGAGGGATAGGGATAGAGAGAGAGATAGGGAAAGGGACAGGGAAAGGGAGAGAGATAGAGATAGAGATAGAGAAAGGCCTTCTAGGTATCGTGATAGAGATAGATATAGAGAGAAACAGACTACAGCAGCCGTACCAAGGACTATTTTTCATAGGTTTGTTTTTTCATTTCCAAACGAAGGACTAATAATTGTAAATATGGTAATTACATAAAAATTATGACTCAAATTTTTTTTATAGAGCTTTGGACGCTGTTACAATGTCTTGGGACAATCTACATTTAAAACATATTTTATCCAGTGATACATATTGCAGTCACATTCCTGAAAGTTCCTTGATCTCCGGTAGTTTTAATTCACAAGGTCAACCTTTGTGGCACGGTAATTATTATTTTTAATAAAAATTATCCATGTAAAATGTCTTTAGTAAATTCTTCGTCAAAGGACATACATTGTAATAAATAAATTAAATTTTTTAGAGCCTCTAGCTACGTGTGCAGCAAGAGTTGACGCCCTTAGAAGTCATGGTCATCAAGAAGCAGCATTGAGATTAGCAGTAGCAGTAGTTAGAACAATGAAACAGCAACAGCTGTCAAATCAAAGAAAATGGCATGAAAGTCAGCAACAAATTAGAAATGCTCCTAGCACAAGCGGAAATAGTCATTATTCTTCATCTGCGTCTTTATCATGTTCTTCTTCATCTTCTTTTTGCAAGTAAGATACCTTGTTGTTATCAGCTTTTGTTTTAAAAAGTTTTTACTATTTTTATTAATTAATTAATTTTTTTTTTAGCAAACTTTCTATAAACAATCCTTGTACATCACGTTGCTCTGGGTTATCATGTTGCAAAAACCATTATCCACCTTCGGGTTCTTTTTCAAATGTTCCTTCTACATCTTACATGAGTCATTCATCACCATTAAATCATAACAGCTGTTGTCATCATAGCAGTGGCTACGGACACAGCGGATATCATCATCACAGTCGGGGTTGTCACGGATGCAGTTACATCTGCGGTGGTCATTATGGGTCTAGATGTTACCGAAATCAAAATAATTTATATAATAATGATACGGGGTGTGACGAAGGATGGGTTGGACATCCTTTAGATCCTGTGGGCTGCTTGTTTGACGTCTTGGCGTATGCTTCTCTGGTAGTCGACGATCAAACGCCGAGAGTTGCTACATATTTCGGTGGGAAAAGTTTTTTTTAATGTTTAATTGTTTGCGTATTTTGATTTTTTTTATATTTATTATCACTTTTTTATTTGTAGATCCTATTGGCGAAGAGGGTTCGAATATTCCACCGAGGTATCAACATATACCGGTTGTAGGCACTAGAGATCGTTCCGAAACGTATCTTTCTCTAGCTGTTGAAGTTGCCCTTATCGGCTTGGGTCAACAAAGAAAAATGCCCACGGGGTTGTATGCTCAGGTAAATTTGTTTGCAGTGCACCTATACTATTTTTTAGGGCGAATGCACATTGGAGTCTCTTTTAGTGGTTAATATTAATTATTTTTTTATAAAATGTTTGCTTTTAGGAAAAAGCTTGCAAGCAAGAAGATCGTCTGATTGCTAAATTGCAAGAAATAGAACTTGACAACATTCTTGTATCAGTTTTGCGAAGGCAAGCAATTGTTTTACTTGAAGGAGGTCCTACCAGTGGTTTAGGTTTGGGCATTCACCCTGAAAGTATTCCAATGCATACTTTCGCAAGATTTTTATTTTTAGCTCTTTTGAATTATTATCCTGATCTAGCATATGAAGTTGGATTGCGAGCCATGAGGTAAATTATCAAGTTCTTTTCAAATGAAATAGCTCATCGTCTGGAATAAATTTATAATTATTTTGTATTTTTTTTTTCTTCCACAGATTACCAATTCTTGAAGAGCGTGACGAGCACGATGACGCTGCTGGTAATATGTCTTCCCTTGTTTTAAGCCGATATCCTCGTTGGTTTACCTTAGGTCATATAGAAACACAGCAATGTTTACTTGCTTCAACTATGCTTAGTGCCGCCAAAGGTATTTACAATAATCACCTCTGCTTCTTTCCTTTTTTTTTTTTCATCTCATGATTTGTAATTAAATCCTTTTCTTTTAGACTGCGTTTTATGTGCTGGAGAAGCATTGAGACTAAGAACAGTGCTGGAATCCGCTCAACAACATATTCATAGTTCTTCACATCTTTTTAAATTGGCTCAAGACGCTTTTCGATTTGCTACTCCCGAAAACGGAAGCAGACATCCAACTTTATTAAATGTAGCTTTTGAATTAGGATTGCAAGTGAGTAAAAAAAAAAACCCAAAAAATATTTGAATATTTAAAATGAAAACAAAAAAAATTCATTTAGAAAGATAAGAAAGATGAGGATTGAAGGAACAAGAAGCTTATCTTATTATTATTATTATTATTTTGTTAAATTTTCCACAGGTTATGAGAATGACATTGTCTTCCCTTAATTGGAGGAGACGAGAAATGGTTAGATGGTTAGTTACGTGTGCAACTGAAGTAGGGGTCGAAGCATTAATATCTGTTATGCAAAACTGGTATCAATTATTTACTCCTACGGAAGCAACGGGACCCGTAGCCACCACTATAATGTCACATTCTACTATTATGAGACTGAATCTTAGTTTGGCTCAACAAGAAGAGTTATCTACGTGCGCAAGGAACTTAGCTTTACAGTGCGCTACCAAGGTTAGAAAAGAAATGATGATGATTTCTTTATCTCTCGACCATTATTTATTTCAAAACTAATTTATTTATTTATTTTTTTTTATTATTAGGATCCACCGAATTGTGCCTTGAACGCACTAACACTTTGTGAAAATGATAAAATAGCTTTTGAAACCGCTTATCAAATTGTAATCGATGCGGCAAGCCTTATAATGACTTCATCACAATTGTTTACCATAGCCAGATACATGGAACACAGAGGGTATCCCGTAAGAGCCTATAAATTAGCTACTCTCGCTATGAAAAATGTACATTTAGCTTACAATCAGGTAAGAGAAAAGTTTAAATCACGCCGGAAAATTTTAAATCGATGATGGTTTATGTTTTTTTTCTTTTTTTTAAAGGACACTCATCCTGCCATCAATGACATTCATTGGGCATGTGCGTTGAGTCATTCATTGGGCAAAACTGAATTAGCCAATATGATTCCTCTTCTCGTTAAGAACGTTCAATGTGCCACAGTACTTTCCGACATACTTAGAAGGTGCTCAATGACAGCGCCGGGATTATCGTGTCAACATCCCGGAGATGGAAAACACCATCATCACCGTCACCGTGGAGGTTTCGGAAGCGCTTCGAAACCTCTTTCGTACGACAGGCCACCACTTAGGCCACTACTCGAGGCAGCAGTCGCGGCTTATGTGAACACGACACATTCGAGATTAACTCACATTTCTCCCCGACATTACACGGACTTTATCGATTTCCTTGTTAAAGCTAGAGACACTTTTCTTCTTGCACACGATGGTCATGCTCAATTTCAGCAATTAATAGAAAATATGAAAATGGCTTATAAGGGAAAGAAAAAATTAATGTTTTTAGTGAAAGAAAGATTTGGGTGATGAGCGTTTTAATATGACTAAAATATATATATTAAATTTTTTTGTTGTTTGATATAAAAAAAAAAATGAAAAAGAGAGAGAGAAAGATAGAGAAAGAGAGAGAAAGAAATTTTTTTTTTTTAGCTTTTACCTTATACGCCAACAATGCCTATCTATTAAGTTTTGAAAATTTTCATATATGAAATATAAATTGCATAAAAAAAAAAATTATAAAAAAAATTAGCTGTAAAACATTTTTTGCTTTTCGATCTCAAACAAAAAAAAAAAAAAATTTAAGAAAAAAAAACAAAAAAAAATTTTTTTTTTTAAATTATAAGGACTGTCATTAGCTAAGTGCATTACTATATTGTAAAAAAAAAAAAAAAATGTAAGTTGTGTACATTACTGTCAATATAATTTAAATAACGAGTGGTTTAAGGTAATTCTAAAAAATTTAAATAATATAGAAAAAAGAAAATTTTCTGTCTGTTTTAATTTGTTGCTGGGGCTAATATGTCGACATTTACGTGTATTTTTCGTTTTCGTTACCCCCCCTCTCCCTCCCCCCCTTAAACAAATGAAACTTTTTTTGAATGCATAATCAATGTTTTTTTTTTTTTTTGATTTGATTGCCCCAGTATATTTATATTTGTGATATTTATTTAAGATGATGATGATGATGATGATGATGATGATGAGGAAAAAAAAAAGAAAATCAGGGATTTATTATTATTTTCTAATCTAAGTTAAAATACCAAAAGAAAAATGAAAAAAAATGCATTTTTAACTACCGTATAAAATATATAAATAATTATTGACAAATAATATACACATTACCCAGTGAATTAAAAGTATAAGTAATAATAATAATATTGATAATGATAGTAATAAAATCAAAACATTTTCAGTTGTAAAAAGAAAAACAAAAAACAAAAAAAAATTAATAACGGTTTGTTTTTTTTGTTTTTGCTTCTTTCTCTCCCTCCCCCCACTTTATTACAATCAAAATAAAATTGTTTTTTTTTTAATAATAATAGTAATAATAATAATGATGATGATAATTTCAATGTTTTTTTTTTTTAAATTTTTTTTGCTTTAAGTGCAATAGATGTTATATTCATGGAGAAAAAAAAAATTTGTTTTTTTTATTTTTGGTTTATTTTGTATAACTTTGTTAACAAAACTGTGTCATATAGTAATGAAAGTTTAAGAAAAATAATAATCATAATTAAGAATGAATTCATTCATTCATTCATTCATTCGTGTTTACGGATATTGAATGAATGAATGAAAGAAAAAAAAAATTTTTTTTAAATTTAATTTAAAGAGTTTTGTAAACTTTTTTTGTATTTTTTTTTTTTAATTTTTCAAGTTATTAATTAAAAAAATAATGACACAGTTTTGTAAAACATGTATTATTATTATTATTACTATTATTATTATTATTATTATTACTATTATTATTATTATTATTATTAATATTATTTGTTTAAAACTTTAAAAAAAAAAATTCATTTTGTATTTTAATGATAATTTTTTAAAGATGGAGAATTTGGTTTTTTTTTTTTTTTGCAAACAATTTTTTTTTCTGTCAAGTGTCATTCATTACATAAATAATAATAATGATAATAATGATAATAAAAAGTAAAAATAATAATAATAATTTAATCTATCATTGTAATAATAATTTCAAATCAGTTAAGGTATTCCTACTACTACTGTAATATTAAATGTGTTAATTTTAAATCATCTTTCTTAGCTCTATAAGATATTATTATTATTATTTTTTTTATTTATAAATTGACATTTTATAAAAAGGCATGAGTTATACAGGGGGTTGCAGAGGGTTCGGCGGGGGTGAGGGTGAAATGACAAAAGGATTGAACAGAGAGAGAGAGAGAGAAAAAAAAAATTGAACAATCACAATCAAATTTTTTTTTTTTTATTATTAATAATTTTATTTGTATTTATTTTATTTTATGAATGAATGTGTGTGCGTGCGCGTGCGTGTATACATAAATATTTATATGTAAATTACTATTTATATATATAATTTTTTTTTAAAATCATAACTCGTGTTTTTTTTTTTTATATGAAATGTCAATTTTTTTTTATTTAAATTTTATGTTTAATAATTTAAATTCAGGTATTATTCCGTAGGTTTTATTTAGTATATGATTAGATAATAATAATAATTAAATCGAAAATGTGTCTGTCGTCCTATATATTATTAAGATTTTTATCATGTAAAATATTTTAATTTTAATTTTTTTTTTTTTTCGGGGGGGAGGAAGGGGGTGGTTCGAAGTTTAAAAAAAAATGTCGTTTCAAATCAGAGATTTAAATTTTAATTTGAAAAGTTTTTTTTTTTTTTTTTTTAAATGCTGTCGAGATTCTCAAGGGAGAAAAAATCACAAAAATATAAATAAGCCAGTGACAAAAAAAAATGTACGCACCTTAAAGAATGAATGAATGAATGAATGAATGGGTTAATGTGTCGAATAAGTGTGTGTGTGTGAGAAATGAAAATTGTAATTATTATTATTATTATTATTATTATTATTATTATTATTATTATTATTAATTTTAATTTTAATTTTAATTGTAAATTTTTTTTTTTTTTACCAGTTTTTTTTTTGTTAGTGCTCGTCGTTGTTTGTCCTCGTGTCGTTACGTAAAAAAAAAAAAAAAAAAAAAAAAAAAAAAAAGAAAAAAAAAAAGAAAAAACTGCTCAATAGTATGATCTGATGTTTTATTATTATTATTATTATTTTCGTGAAAAGTTCGATATTTGTAAAATTTTTATTTATACAATTTTAATTATTTTTTTTTGTAACAGATCATTCTATTGTTCGCCTTACCAAAGATTTTTTTTTTTTTTTTTTAATATTTTTTATTTTTTCTTCTTGTACCCAACGATTTTGGTTTATGTTATTATTATTATTATTATTATTCTCATTGAGTTTCTTATGCTCCCTGATGAAATTTGTATATTTTCTTTTGTTAATTTCACATTTATAAAAAAAAAAGAAAAGAAATGGAAGGAAGGAAGGAAGGAAGTAAAAACAATTTTTATTTGTACATTTCAAAAGGAAAAAAAGGAAAAAAAAAAAATTTATTTTATTAAAATCATTCTTTAATTAAAAAAAAAAAAAAAATTAATAACATTTTATGCAGATCTCTCTTCAAAGTATTGTATTAAAATTTTAATTAAAAAAAAAAAATAATTTGACGCTCTAATGTCGTCGTCGAACCTATATTTAGAGTAAATTTTATTGAAGACTAAAGACAAAAAAAAAAAAAAAAAAAAAAAAAAACTAAAGCATACAACATATTTAAACAAACGTATGTATAAAAATTCATTTAATAAAAAAAAAAAAAAAAAATTGTATATTATTTAAATTGAAATATAAATTATTCATTTAAAAAAAAAAATAATAATAATAAAAGTTTTATTTATTTATTTTTCTTCTTTGACTCCCTTAAAAAAAAAAAATGAAAAAAAGTTGGGAAAAATATAAATAAAACGAGATATAACGTCTTTTTTTATATTCTGATAATAAATTTTAATAAATATCAATAATAAATACTTTATTTAATAAGTTATGATGCATTAAATGATTAATTTTATTATTTAAGTCATTTGTTTTGATTGAGAATATTTTAAGTGATAAGATAAACAAACCGCCATGATTGTTAACTTAACTCACAGCCTTGTTGAAATAACTATCGAATGTGTATCGTCGTCTGCTTAACGGTGATCTTGTTTTTAAAAATTTAATGCAGGAGAGAGTTTATTTTATATAAATAATATTAATTTAAATCTAATAAGAATTATTAAACAATTAATTATAAATTTATTTAATAAATGGAATGTGAACATATAAATAAATTATTTGTAAATTTTTTTTTATAAACGTAATTAAAATTAAATAAGGACATTTTTTTTTTTTTTTTTTTTTTTGAAAACTTCATCGTTAATGTGATTTTATTATTATTGATCAAACATGATGCAGTTAATAAGAACTGGTAGTACCATGAAAGAATTATTTGGAACAATAAAAAAGGGAAATTTAATTTTACGCAGCTTCAGTTATGTCGGAACTCAACAGTACAACATAACAGAAAAATATTGTAAATGTGAAAAGGTTAATTTTTTTCGAAAATCAATTTTTATGAATTCATTTTATTATCCGAAAATTTTTTATTCAACTGAAAACATTCAAGGGTATGTTTTTATAGCTTTTTTTTTTAAATATTTTTAAATTTGACATTTTAAATCATTTAATTTTTTTGTTTTAGATCTTTAGATAAAGTAACTTTTATTAGTGTATGCACAGAAACTTTAGATTCTTTAACAGAGTATTTCGAGGAGCTTATCGAATCTATTCCTCATTTAAAAAATGCTGATGTTACATATAGTGATGGAGTACTAACTGTATATTTTGGTAATATGTTGTTCTATGATTAGATTGAAATTGTCTTATTTACTTATAATTTGATTTATGATCTGTCATTTAATATTATTTATCGTTTTAGGCAAAAAGTATGGTACATATGTCATAAATCGTCAAACACCAAATTTACAAATTTGGCTTTCTAGTCCCACTAGTGGTCCCAAAAGATATGATTTTTCAGGTGGAACATGGATATATAAACATGATAAGACAACTCTCCATTCATTATTAGATAAAGAAATTAAAGAAATTGCTAATCAAAAAGTTGAATTTTCTGAAAAATGTGTTTATTCAAAAGTAACAGAATAAGAGGATAACAGTCAGAAGAGTACATTATTGAAAATTATAGAATTATTGTGTGTGAAAAGTTGTTATTGTGGTGAAAATTTTTAGTTAAAATGGAGGTAATGGAAGATGGTAATCTTTTAGACAGAGTGAGAATTTTATTACAAAGAGATTTGGATTATTATAATCAGCATCAAGCAGTTTTACAAGAAAATCTTTGCTCTGGTGTCGTCGGAGGATTGCTCGGTACATAATCAAGAACATTTTTAAAATAATTTGAAATTTAAAAAAAAAAAAAAAAAAAAAAAAAAAATGATTTTTAATAAAATTTATTTAAATTTAAATTTTTTTAAAAATTATTATTATTATTATTTTTTTTTTATTAATTTAACATTTAAAGATTTTCCAAGATATGCATCCTTTGCTGCTGTAAAACTTGTTACTTGGTGGGAAGCTCAATTTAAAAGCGCCTTTCAAAAACCTTCTGGTTTATCTGGAATAGCAGTAGAAAGCAATGAAGTAAGTTTGTCCACCATTAATATGTGTCTTTGTCAAAATGGATATGTGTTAATAGAAAAAAAATTTTTTTTTTTTTTTCAGGGTGCAGATAGAGGATGTGGAGGTATAGCTGTGATTTTAGCACCTAAGGAATTTCTAAAAGTTATAGAAGATACAGCAGCTCAGTTGCTTGAACATTTGCATATTCTTTCTCAGGAAGCTTTGGATCATGCAGATTTGACAGTACTAACAGGTAAATCACAATCATTTTTATTATTACTAAAATTAAACTTTTTTATTTAACTTCGGTTTATTATTTAATAGGTACCTTAGGAGCTTCTGCTCTTGTTAAAAATACTCTTTGGTGTTACAATGAACATCTGAATTTAAAAGAAGGTCTATCTTTACATGAAAGCTATAAAAATTATAAAGAAATGTCTGAAGCTTTAGCTGAAAGGCTTTTGGATTTGCATTGTAGACTTTTATCTTTATACGTCCTTCAAGACGCTGATTCTTTATCGTGGGATTACCCTCATCCTTTTTTCGAAGGAGAGCGTGGTTCTTTTGTCATTCAAATGTGGTGGTTATATATGCAAGGAACTCGTCAAGATCTCTGGAACACAGTACCTCCAAAAACAGCACAACGTGTGCTAGCTGGAATGCTTAATGAAACTCTGACAATATTAGCCAGCAGATATTGTCAAGCTGAACCAAGTCCTGCTCGTTTATCACTTTTGGTTACTGACATAGGTTAAAATTTTAATTATAACCTTATTTGGATAAAATCTATTATTTTGTTTTAAACCAAAGTTTTTACTTTTTGTTTTAGGTAATCTATTACTCTGCGTTAATGAAATTCTACCATCGATTTGCAGCAACGCTTCAGAATTTTTAGGATTTTCGAACAGTAAAATTCTTCGGGACATTCATTGTAAATGTCATCAGCTTTTATTATGTTTAAGTCTTCGCGGTTGTCCTCTTTCCATTCTTTATAAACTTTTTAAAAATGGTTTTGACGATGTCATCGCATTTGAAAATCGTGCAAAGTCTATAGCTCCGTGGTTGATTTTTGTATCTCCCGAACTCCTGCAACTTTCTTTGGGTGAACGACTCACGAGTATTTCCGACGAATACGCCATTATGTTAGAATTAAAAGTTTTAATAGCTCAACCGCAACCTTGTTATCCTTTGTTATTGCACGTTTTAACCATGAGGGAATACAAAGTACTTGAAATTACATTTTAAAATTTAAATTAGAAAAGAATTCTTTGACATTACGGTTCAATTCCATTTTTAGGTTATAACCTTATTACTCAAAAAAATTTCGTTGTTGCTGTCTGAAGAAAAAAAATTAAAGGAAAAAAAAGAAGAAGATGTTAAATCGAAAGACGTCAACTGCGGTGGTTTTTTGTGTTCAGAAAGTATTTTTTTTTTTTTATTAATAGAATTTATAAAGTTTACTAAATTTTTAATATGTTAAATTAAATTTAAATTAATTTAAGGTGGTAATTGTCAATTTATATCGAGCAATTCAAACAATTTATTTTCTGCCGTTGCTTTTGTTTTAATGAACGTTTGCACAACGGAAGATTTTAACAAATGTATAACCTATGCATTCGAATTGATAGAACCAAATTGGGCTTGTTGCCTCGACAGGCATCAGGTACGATAAGTTTTTTCAAAACGCTTAAAATTGTAGATTTTAAACGTTATTTTGCCTTAAAAGATATAAAGAAAAAAAAAATTTGTCAAATTTAGATTTGGAATTTAAAATATCCGCCATGGTTGTCAGCATTTACATCGGAATTAGAAATACCGTTAAAACCTTTAGTTAAAACATTGATAGAAAATGGAAATTGTAATAAAAATTTAGAATTTTGCATCGATTTGACATTGGAGAGTTTGTTGAAATTGAAAGATGTCCTACCACCTCACGTATTCAAAGTTGCCATAGTTTTACAAGAAAACATACCAGCGGATATAAATCCCATTGGGAACAGTGTACTACTACAAATGTTAATCATGGGTAATTCATTCAATTTCAATTCAAATTTTTACTTTAAATTTTTTTTTTTTTAAATGGATTCCGCCATCTTTTTTTTTTTTTTTTACAGTGGTGTATGCTTTGTTAGTGTCATCTGAAAACGATGCTGCATTAGCTTTGGCAGAAGCACTTTGTCACTTAGAAGTACCCGTTCACATAGTGGAACAATTGGAAAAGGGTCTTGAAGAATTTATAGACGATCACGAATTAGCTTTGGTTTCGGACGTGACCGTTAGTCGAATACTTTTTACTAAATTTGGCCGACAAGCAATGAAAGTAAAAAAAAAAAAATTTTTTTTTTTTTCATTTAAACCACGAAATGAAAGAAGAAGAAAGAGTGAAAATTTTGTTTTTTGTAAATTTCAGGTTCTTTATCATTCAATCGTTGAACATTCGGAATGGTTTATGTCATCTTTAATACCTGAATATCCTTCTACTAAACCTTCAAATAAATTACTCTACATAATGTTTCACATTGGTATAAGACCTTTCGATCAGGTAAGTTTTTATTTTTTAAATTAAGGTTCCACGTAAACGTTAGAAGGGAGGGAAGGAAGATTTATTTAATTAATCGATATTACAGATTTTAACGGGAGAATGGAAACCTGATTATTTAAAAATTTTAGAAAGGCCTTTATCTCTCACGAAAGAAACCACTTGGATGCACCTGTCTAAAAGACCTGAATTTGTAAATCCTTCTATTTTATCGAAACACGATAAAACCGTTGTTGAAACAATAAGTTCATTATTTTTAGGCGACTAAGTTCTTTTTTTTTTATAATTCTTTATTTAAATGCCAGGATATGTTTATTAACAAAATAATAATAATAATAATAATGTAAGAATTTTAATATGATTTTTTATTCTTAATTTTGCACTAAATTTTTTTTTTTTTTTTTTTTTTTTTTTACACTGATAGAAAAAAATTAACGGTGAATTATCATTTACATTTTGAATGATGCCTTCTACCGGCATTCAATGTTAAAAAATATTTTTTGTCAAGCAATTTATTATTTAAGTTATTAACTCTACAAGAGCATAATAAATTATTAACATTATTTAAATTAATATTAACAATTTTATAACAATCCTTCCATTTCTCTCATAAATTGTAAATACGCATCATCTTTAGTTTGTATGTTTTTCGTTGGGGGTTGACTAATTTCTTGTTTAAGCTCTGAAAAAAAAAAAAAATTTCCGTTAAAAAAAATTCAATTCGAAGGTCAATCGATGACTTTTATTCGAAAAAGTATTTTATACCTGAATGGTGGGGTATTTTAATATCTTTCTTTTGCTTAACGTCTCTTTTAACTCTGAGCGCCGTGGGAAGAAATCTCGTTACATCCGCGCTTAAATTTCTTATTTGAGCTCCCGCTTGTATTGTTGCTCCCGGTTTTTCTGGGGGTCTACTTATGAGCTGCGGAGCAGCTGACAATACATTTGTTTGTGCTGCGTGTGGAGTTAGGGGAGTTACAGGGGGTATATTGGGCGGTCTCATTAATCGAGGAGGCATTCCCGGAGGCGGACCCGGAGGAAGTCGAATTCCTAATCTGGGTGGTAAACCTGGAGGTGGACCGGGGGGTAAACGAATTCCCATTAAGGCAGGTACTCCTCGTGGAGGCGGAGGTCTAAACATCATAGACGGCATCCCTTATTAAAAAAACAAAAAAAAAAAAAAAAAAGATGGATTAGTAACATTTTAATTTAAATTTAATGGGTTTTTGGGGTCGCTGTTTACCGGGAATCATGGCAACTCCAGGCCTGTGTACTAAATGAGGTAAACCCATTGGATCGGAATCTCCTAAAGTACCAGGAGCCATTCCTGGGGGTTCTATTGAATCAGGAGGAGAAGCGTCGCGTTTATTTTTATTCCCATAATTTTTTGGATCCAAAGCTTGTAACCGATTTTCAAGATCAGCAGCTCTGTCAGCTTTTCTTTTTTTGTGAACTTCTTCCATCTAAAAAATTAATTTATAAAATTTAATTAATAATTAACGTTTTTAACAAAAAGAAAAGTACTTATTCCTTCAATATCTTTTTCCATTTTTTTTTTACCTCCTTCATAAACTGATCTATATCTTGGCCAGCCATGGCTAACATTTTTTGTTGTAAAGAAGTTGGTCTTTGTTTTGAATCGTCTAGTTTCAAATTGTCATCTTTTCTTTCACCTAATCTGTCATCCTCTAGCAGATGTCTTTCTACAGAGAGCAAATCCCTTTTATCTAAACTATCTTCCACTCCAGGTGCAATATCTTTTTCATCCATAAATCTGAAAAATTACATATTTAAATTATTTAACTAAGAAATATATATTATTAACATTTACCATAAATTTAATCGAAAGTATGAATTTTCAAGACTGATTCAATAAAAAAAATACTATGTTATTAAAATTTGAATATAAACTTTAAATGTAATACCTGATAGTTTTCCTGGGTACTGAAATTGGAATTGGATTGTGTTCTAACTGTAATTTATCTATATCTTCATCATCATCACTAAGCTCAGGAGGAGGTCCTATAGGTACTCCAGGGGGTTCTTTTTTCTTTTCCAGTTCTTTACTCCTTAAAATTTTAATATTGTGAAATTAGTCGTAATTATAAAAAAACTAATATTTTGCTTTATGTTCATTAAAATAAACTATTACCCATAGGAAGATTTTTTTAAAATACCATGAGGAGGCTGTAAAAATGGAGGAGGTACATTTGTTGGCCTCATTGCTGGATGTGGAGGTGCATGAGCTGGTAGAGGAATTTGTGAAGGCATACCAACAAAAACAGCTTGAAGTTCAGCTGGTAAAGCAGCAATAGGTAAAGGGATATCATCTACCTAAAAATTGTTTTTAAATAAAAAATTTAAATTAAAAAAATTAACAATGAATAATTATTATTAACCTAAATGATTACCTGAACTTGTTGAGCATTTTTTACAGCTTCATAATAGTTGTACAAAGCAGATCGTTTTCTTTCATATTCTATTTGAAGTCTTTTAAGTTCTGCCCATTTATCAGGATCATCCTTGTGCTAAATATTTTATTTACATACAGAAAAAAAAAATATAATTTAATATATTTGACATTTTAATAATAAACTTTTTGACCTAAAGTACTATTTAAAAAAAAAAAAAACAAATAATTAAAATTTTTACTTACATACATTTTTAAAACTCTTTCTAAAGTATCTTTTAATTTTTTTCTTTTATCTTTTAAAACTTTTTCATTAAGAGGAGAAGGTTGTAAAACATTATATTCTGTAACAAGAAAATAGAAAAAAAAATAATGATTGCAGTCATATTATAATTAAAAATAAATTTTGAAATTTTTATCTTCTGAAAATAGTACCCATTTGATCAATTTTTTCTAAATCCAATAATAATTGTTGAGGGTCTTTTCCTCTTAAAACTGCAGCTCTCACCATTTGTCTTTGCTTTTTATTTTTCTTTAATTCTTTTTTTCTTGCTTCCTTTCCTACAAAAAAAAACAATAATTTTTTCTTCTTTTTTAAAAATTTGCAAATGGTTAGAAATAAAAAACGCTAGATAAATATCAAGTTCTAAACTTTAAATTAAAATAAAAGCAATAACTTACTTGCTTGATCGGTGGGATTCATATATTTACCACTTTTAGTGGTATTAATCGATCTTCTTCCCATTTTAAAAGTTTATTTTAATACATAAATTAAAAATAAT